TCGGCTGCAAAGTCCTCGGGGACCTTCATCCTCCTTGTATTGGAAGCCCCTGAAGTTCCAGGGCTGAACTTCTGAAAGGGTGGATTTCTCCTCCGGGATCTTCTGCCCAGTTCTTGCCCAGATCTCCCCACAGCTCCCAGGCTGAACACCAGAAGGGCCTTTTCCAATTTCCTCGCTTGTTAAAGATTGGCTTTTCATTTTTTTTCCTGTCCTGTAGTGCAACTCCAAATGGGTTCAGGGAATCTTGTGGATCTCCAAACACCTTTCTAGTCATAGTACCATTCCTGTAGCTGTCTCTATCCAATTTTTTGTCTCCAGAAGGGGAGTTACAAATGGCTTCCAATTTCTGTATCTAAGATTAATTAGAAAGTGGTGTATTTAATCCCCAATTATAACATCATTCTAATGGAAAGGTATGTTTTCCTGAGCTCCATTACAGTGACATTGAGCACTTAATCCGTGTGCATGAATGTGTGTTTGGTAAAAACTTTAAGATTGGTCTCCATCATGGACTCAGAACACTGAACGAATATATTTTGGATCATTTTCAGTTGCTCTTTTTCTCAGAAACCTAAATCTGCATTTACCTACAAGGGGGTTTACACAAACTCTAACAAGTGAACAAAACATAAAAACTCACTTTTAAAAAAATTAAATGCCCCAAAGTGACCTGCTTTGTATGTTCCCTTTCTTTAGGGTTCCCTAACAGAATTACACACAGGCAGATTCCCAAAACACAAAGAGGCTGAGCAACTGTTCACATGAGACACAGGGGTTGATGAGGTCCTGGTTCACTCACCCTCCTAAGAGAAATTGAACTGCTGAGGATCCAACCCTATTTTAGTGTCCTCCAGCACAGAAGGAGAAGGCGGGCACAATCTCCTGCAGTTCCTCCCTTGCAACCATGTTCTTCTTTCCTGCTCCAGACTTGCCCTCCAAGCTCTCCCCATCTCCCACCTCAGATCTCTCTCCAGGCTATGATGGGGTGAAGGATTCCCCCAGGACCCTTCCTCTTCTCTGGGAATCTGTTCCCGGGGCAACGCGGCTAGTGCTGAGCACCGCTTCCAGCACCCGTTTAAACCTCTTCCGGTGCTGAAAGGGTGCAAAAGGGACAGAGTGCTGGGTCCTAGACGGAACGCAGAATGTCACTTCGCTCCCATTCTCCTATGGTAATTCACCTCTGGCGTTCGCCCTACAGTGGCCGAATGGTGAATCGCATGTGTTCTGTTCTTTTTTCTGAGGGACTCATCTGGTGATTTTTTTTTTTTTTTTTTGGTAAATTTTATTTGAGTTTTCACAAAGAGAAAACAAATACAAATAAAACATCTTTTTTGAAAGTAGCATAATCCCGGGTTACATTTCTTCGTACAGCTATAGTGTCCTCTGTAGATCTTAAGTTGCATGTTTGCAATGGAAATTTCATCCCTAATTCCAAGGTGCAGGAGAGATCAAACAGAAGTAGTTAATCCTCATATGCCAACGCCCGGTTGTCATAGCATTTTGACTTATATACTGCTTCACAGTGCTTTACAGCCCTCTTTAAGTTGTTTACAGAGTCAGTCTATTGCTTCCATCAATCTGGGTCCTCATTTTACCAACTTCAGAAAGAGGGAAGGCTAAGTCAACCTTGAGTGCAGGCAGCCGGCAGGCAACTGAAGTAGCCTGCAGTACTGCATTCTAACTACTGTGCCATCATGGCTTCACAGCATTGATATGGAATTATCTGAGCTAAAAAGGCTGAAACCTGTGATGAAGTTTCGCATTACATCAAGCCAAGGAATTACTTTGTCACTGACATATTTAAACAGAAATAGAAAATACATCCAATGCGAAATGGCACATGATGCATCAGTTTTAATTTAGTTTAATTTAGTTTACTTTATTGTCATTGCACCTTGTACAATGAAATCAAACACCATCTTCAATGCACATCATAACCATGAAAATAAACACAAACACATATCCTTCACCCTCCACACATTGAACCGAAAACCCCCGACACCGCATAAATTCTGCACTATACAGCAGAATTCAAAAGAGCTACTGCCCTGGGATAGAAGCTGTTTTTCAGCCTATTTGTCCTTGTTTTTATTTTTCTGTACCGTCTGCCAGATGGTAATAGTTCAAAAAAAGGGTTCCCAGGATGAGATGGATCTTTGAGAATGTTTTGAACTTTCTTAAGGCAGCGGGAGCTATAAAGCTCTTCCAAACAGGGAAGAGGGCAACCAATGATCTTCTGGGCAATGATGTTAACCCTCTGGAGTGCTTTCCTATCTGCCACTGTGCAATTGGCAAACCATACAGAGGTGCAGTTGTTATGTCTCCCCTTTAATTGCAGGCAAGGAAAACGAAAAGCAGCCGTTTCAAAACTAATTCAAACCAAAACAAAGTCCCACAAGAGAACGGCTGGCTCGAGTCCCAATACACAGTCATAAATCCTTACTCTGTTGGCAATTCTGTCGTGGCAGTAAATCACAAGCCTCAGAGCTTCGGCTGCAATGTCTTCACTCCCAATTAGTCACTTTGCTTCTGGCGAATTCCAACAGCCCAGCCGTGTCCTTTTATTCACTTAGGAAATGTGCTAATTTGCCTAATTAGTTACTCGCTCTCCTCTTTCTTTCTAACTGGGTTTGTCTCCTTAGCCTCCTCCTGTTCCTGACGTCTAACCATAAGTTTTCCAGATTCTCATCTCCGCTGGAAAACTCTCTTATGCCTTCCCTGTCAGCCATTCCCGGCTGCTGATCAGATAAAGAACCAGAGGAGGTCGAAGGTCCTGACAACTCTAATACTTCAGGTCTGTCTTCCCTTGTTACATCCATCTCCTCATCCTGGTTACTATTCCAATCACTAAGCAATGCCGGCTCATATTTTGCTGCCATGTCCTCATCACTTGAACTCATATCTGCCACAGGAGCAGAATCCAAACCCGGAGCCACAACATGCAGTATATTAAAATGCTCTCTGTGGTGCAGCGGTAGAAGGTCACCAGCAATTTTTCATTCAGTTGTTGTTTTCTGAGAAGTCTCAGGTAGTATAATCTCTGCTGGGCCCTTTTGACCAGAGCTGCAATGTGAGCACTCCAGGTCAGGTCCTCTTTTAGCGTAACACCCAGAAACTTAAAACTGGCCAGTTGCTCCACTTGGTCTCCATTGATAAGCAAGGGCTGGATGTCTGATCTGTTCCTTCTATAATTCACTAAAAGCTCCTTGGTCTTACTGGTGTTGAGGACCAAGTTATTGTCTCCACACCACAAAAGCAACTGGTCCACCTCATCTCGGTAGGCAGACTCATTCCTCCCCAGAGATAAGTCCCACCACTGTTGTATCAACTGCAAATTTAGCAATAGTATTACTAGCGTGAGTGGGAATGCAGTCATGCACATAAAGAGTATAGAGTAAGGGACTCAACACACAACCCTGTGGTGTACCAGTGTTAAGAATAAGGGCTGAAGAGGTGTTATTACCTTATCTGACCCTCTGTAAGCAGCCAGACAGGAAATTCATAATCCAAAGGCAGATTGAATTAGAAAGTCCAAGGTCTGGATGTTTAGACACTAGTCTATGTGGAAGAATTGTGTTAAATGCAGAACTAAAATCCACAAAAAGCATCCTCACATAGCCCCCCCCCACTGTTCTAGATGAGTCAGAGCAGTGTGAAGAGTGATGGCTATAGTGTCCTCCGTAGATCTATTTTTTTTTTTGTATGCAAACTGGTGTTTATCAAATGTATGCGGAAATGATGTGCCGGCAGACCAATTTCTCAAAGCACTTCATGATGATAGGAGTGAGTGCCACTGGTCTGTAATCATTGAGGTTATTGATAGGGAACTTCTTTGGCAACGGAACAATGGTGGAAGCCTTCAAACAAGATGGAATAGTGAACTGGGATAAAGACTGATTGAAGATCCTGGTAAAGACTCCAGCCAACTGATCAGCACAGTCTTTAAGCACTAGGCCAGAGGTACCATCAGGACCAGCAGCCTTTCTAGGGTCCACAGCCCTCAGAATGCTCCTCACCTCCTGTTCTTCCACAATGAGGTAGGGGCTACAATTGGCTGGTGATTGTATTTTATCTGTCTCTGATGTCTCCACTTCAAAGCGAGCAAAGAAATGATTCAGTTCCTCTGCCAATGAAGCATTCCCCTCAGCAGGGATGACATTGGTCAGTTGATGGCTTGTAATTTGTTGAATCCCTCACCACATCTGCCTCATTGTTATCCTCAATCTTCCTCTTATAATCAGTCTTGGCCTTCCGAATACCTTTCTTCAGATTAGCTCTTTATTTATTTATTTCCTTCTTAGGAGCAGGAGAACGGCGTATTTCTACCTGCTTCCTCTCCAGAGATAACATCTATTTGAGATTTTCTAAAATAAGAAACAGCCAGTGGTATCCAACTACAAAATGGCTTCCTGAAGTCTCTGACTGGAGAATAGGAAAGACCCTTACCAAGAGAGGCCACACTGCTGTAATTTTCTAGCATGACTTCCCAATGCAGAGCTTTTTGGTCAGGATCCAGCTGAGACCATTCCTCCTCGGAGAAATACACAGCCACCTCCTTGAAGGAGACAAGGCCCTCCTGACAGGGAAAGAGAGTACACAGAAGGTCCAGGAGGAATTGTGAAAAAAAAACCGGTTCTATTGTTTATAAATTCCCAAGGCAACTTTATGTAACTAAGGTAAATGGCTATGCTTGCTATGATTCCAAGGTTTACATGAGAAAACAGGCAGAGCCAAAAGCCTTTAACTGAAGCAATATTTTGGAATGGTTTTATCAATTTTACTGATTTTGCAGGACTTTCAGTGCCATTCAGTGAAGTCAACAGCAATTTCCTTTTGGATCGATTGAGCTACCATCATCCATCCATTCACCCACCCACCCTCCAGCAACCATTAAAGATGTCTGGAATCAATTGGTATTTTGGGGTTCCAAAACTTCACCTATCAGTGACTCCAAGCCTTCCTGCGTTTGTGGAAGGAAATGTTTCTGTGTTTGGGGGGGAGGATTTTTTGCAGCATTTTAGTAACATGATGTCCAAGGAAGAGCAATCTTGTCTCTCCTCAACACCTTCATGAAAGTGCTGGCAGAGCTCAGCCAAGAATTTGTTTCTGGTCCTCCACACATTGTAAGGAAGCGGCTTGTAGTCTGAGACATCGACTGAATGATAGTTAACAAAGCAGAAGAAATTTCCCGAGGAGATTTTTGTAGCTTTTGCAAAACTGGATTGTTTGGCCTCCAAATTCAGGCATAAAACAAGGTGTTAAAATTTATTTGCAAGCTAAAAATGCCTTGATTAAAAAGCTTTTTTTAAAAAAAATGGTAATTGTCAATGTGAATATTTAGACAGCTTTCAACATCCTTGCACAAATCTAAGTCAAAGAGCTACAAAAAAATAGACACCCTGAAGGAATATTTGAAAAGTGAATAATTAGCATAAGTACAATTATAATAATAATTGGAAACAACTAGCAGTTATTTAAAGTCATGGTCTTTAAAAAAGATTTCCTAAAAAGAACCTACTTCAACTTTTAATCTTGTTCAGGAACACAAAAATAAGCCAACCCAAACAAGAAGGAAAAATGGAAGGAGATTGTTTATGTACATCAGCTTAACTTTCTGGAGCATCCAAATATAATAAATTAATTTCCTCTTACTTGAATTGGAGTTTCAACCATGGTTTCAGTTCCACCATCAGGAACTGTGAAGTTCCTACTATTCTTCCCTGTGAGGGAGACAGAATTTAAACTGCATAATTCATAATGTAGGAGGTGGTGTTTTATAGAAGAGAAGACTTACAGAAGATGAGACAGCTGAGACGTCTCTGCAGAATAGGAGAGCCTTGTATTACCTTTGGTTGTGTCTTGATTTAGATCATCCTGAGAGATCCTCCTGAAAAACATTTCTGGAGATGAACTTGATGGATGCCTCCATCTCTTCGGATCTCTGATCTCCATTGTGAAGGACTTGAAAAAGTAGGCAGGAAACAAGAAGAATAAATTGACCATACTCATTAAAAACTGGATTCTTCTTCTAGAGCCCCAGAAATGCATCAGTGAGGTTGCAAAGAAGGAAAGGAATGACTATCCAAAATAACAGAAGAATTTCCTACAGGAATTATTTCTACCTGTAATGAATGCCAAAGAATTCTGGTAGGCAAATTTTAAGAGTTCAAAAATACTGTTTGTTATATTTAACCAGTCCTGAGC